GAGCATGTGAGGAGCCAACACGAGCATAAGGAGAGCGAGTAAACATGCAGAGGCAGGAAAGGAATGGAGCTCCTTCTCGACCGCTCATCTCTGACAGCAGACATCCGCTTTCCATCGACAAACCCGCTAATGTCCATGGAGATGTGAGTCATCGGCACGAGGCGGCAGATGTGCGATAAACATCCAGTCTGCTGGGTGACACGTTAGTGTCAGAGTGATGGGCTGATCTGCGAGAGATGCCAATCTGAGCGCTCCTGGGGGGCCCCAGCTCCCCCCCCCCCCCCCCAGCTGCCATTAGGCGCTGCTCTGTTTGATAAAAACCGGTAAAAGCTGCATTATCAAATCAACAAATGGCATGCAGTCCTTCTTCTGATTGTAATTCATCCATCCATCCATTCAACTTACAGCTGCTTATTATGGGTACGGTTATAGGGCATCAATCCAGGTCTTGCATATTCATGTATATTATTCGTTAGTTGTTATTTCATGCTTTTGCTTATACATCTAATGCATGCAAGTGTGAAGAAAAGACGCAGACAAGCCTGTAGGAGGAGGGGCGGGCATTTCGCCGACTGGAGTGGGGGTCACTCTTGGTAGATTTCACTGACCAAGGAGAGGGTCCACCTTGCTAGATTTTGCTAACAGGGGGTGGGAATCTAGCTAGTAATTACACTTTCTGGTAACATACCTAAAAGATGGGGGTGAGAGGGTGTGCCTGGATTTAGAACAGGGGTGGAAAATAAAACAGCAGTATGATATTACAAATTACCCCCCCCCCCAGGAATATCAGCAAACACTGTGTCTTTACAGTAGTTAGAAGGGAGGAAGTGGGCATCTGGTTGCCATGTAAGATCACAGACTACCATCTGTGTGACAGGGTGCGGTAATGCTCTACATTAACTGCACCTTCATTATGCCTTTATAATGCATTCATAGAGCATTCAAAAGCAGCATGTAAGTATACATAACATCCTAACATCCCTTAACAGCTTTAATATACATTAATAACAAACATTATATGATGATAACAAACATTATAATCACATAATCTTTGTTATTAATGTGTATTACAGCTATTAAGCATATTAGGATGTTATGTATACTTACATGCTGCTTATGAATGCTCTATGAATGCATTATGAAAGTGCAGGTGATGTAAAGCGTTACCCTGGATACTTTGCTGTATTTCACCCTTAGACTTAATTTCTACAAAGTTGCCCTTTGTGCTACTGATTTGCGCAGCTTGTCTTATGTCAGGGATGACGGTGATTTGAATCACCCCCCCTGCGCCTACAGCTATATCACACTAGTTTCTGATCACTCAGTTGGAAGCTCAGCCTAGCTGCAATTGTGACTGAGTTGGCTCCTTTGTAGCTCTATGTTTTGGCAGGGGGGGGCGGGGTTTGGGGGGTGCTTCTCTGGGTTATGACTCTGCAGCCATGACTGGAAGGTGACTGATTAAATCCCATCACTGGGTCTTGAGCTGCTGACTCTGTGCTGTGACCCCATAACCTGCTCCCATGTGACTCATGGAGAACGAGACGGGATTGGCCCATAATTTTGGACCAAAGCTGTGTGTCTTAAGCATGTTTATTTTACCTGTAAAATGTCTTAATGGTTTGATCTGGCACAAATGTTTGTTTTGGGTGGTTTGGGAACACCTTCAGAGTGATGCGTCTAAATAAAGACGGTGACAACAGGTTCCTGTTGTGCAGTGCAGTCTGTTTCCTCACGTGAGACAACATTTTGCCTGTTGGGATGGATAAATACCCGGTAAATTCTCTAGGGGAAGGTAATTTCTCATAGATTATATGACCGGCTATTTCACCCGCCCACATCAATTATCAGTCAGCTATTTTTCCCATATCAAATGATTGGCAGGTTATTGTGGACAATCCTGCGGTCACCAGCAGCTTGATGCATGTATTTCTGGCATCGCCGACAGCAGCTACGCGGCACCAAATTACATTATTTGTCATTCTGACAAAAGATAGAAGCAGGCGCTCAGACAAATAGCCGTCATGAGTTCCCTCGTGGGACGTAGCATTAAGCATAATGGTGAAACACATTAGCATGAATGCTGAACCAACCTGTATATCATTTGGGACATTTCAGTTTTCATTAGGTACATGATTTGTAAGGGTAAGCAGTCATTTGTTTAACAAGCAGTCATCCAATAGCATCTATTTGTTTTGTGACAAGTAGATCCTGCTAACAATTTTTTGTTCTAGGAATGTTTATTGAACATTACAATTAAATAATGGAAACGTTCAAAGTGTCCAGTGTTCCTGATGCTGATCCCAGTATGCTATCCCACTACTACAACAAGGGGCAGTGCTAGAGATATTGGGCCCCCCAGTCCAGACCAATCCAGCCATTTTCCAAATTTTCTAGCCCCCCTGTCACTCAGGGGCCTTGGAATTCTCCTAATTTTCCCCCGCCTTATGCCCCCCCTGATTACAAGTACTACTGTAACAAAGGCTGACAATATAAAAGCATGCACAGGGCATGATGGAGAAGGTGTAACACTGTTTACACCACAAAGGTCATGGGTTAAAGGCTGGATGGTCTGTTGGCAATAAATGCATATAGCACTTCTGTGAAACAGTATTTTATTACAAAACAATATTTTTAAACATTGATTGTGTTTAAAGGATGTTCAGCTAATGTTCTCATGCTGACACTGACAGAACCTTTGTTAAAATTTTAAGCACGGCAATAACGTTCCTTTAATGTTACAGTAAGAACGTTCTTTGCCAATTTTGAGAAGACCTTCACAGAACGGTAGCTGAAGTTCTGGGGACGTTCCCTGTTAGTTGGGAAGCTGTCGGTGCTGTTGTTGACAATGCACATTATTCATAAACGACGGCCTAAGTCACTTCCGGTCCTGCTGGTGGGGGTTAGGTCCGCTTAGGGGTGTCACTGCCCAGCCTGGAGCAGAAGTGCCCCCCCCCCAACCCCCAACAGCCAAGTGCACATGGGGGACTGGCAAATGCTAGAGCAGAAGGTTATCCTGGGCTTTTTCTGCCATGCTGCCTTTGAAGTTGAGCCAGGGCGCGTTCGCCAGCCCTCGGACCCAACGGCGACCTGGCAGCCCAGCCAGACTCTACGGTTCACAGCATCCAGCCCGCAGAGGAAGCCAAGACCACTGGCCCTGCTCCTGTATCCCTGAACCACAGAGGGCTCGATTATCTGATAACAGGGCCTGGTGGTATCCGAATTCTCACCTGCGGTGTTGGTAGTGTAATGCCTTCTTACCAGCCTCAACCTCATGCTCCATGTGAGATTCACCCTAATTTTACTGCTGAAACACACTCGGCTGCAGCCTTTGTTGGAGATACAGGGCTGCCTTATTCCATATCCTGTACTGTAGTCAAGCTCCGTCCTGCATTCGATATTTAAGCAGAGGTAGAAAATGTGCTACAACTCTACACAAAGCGAGCAACGTGATGTCGATTCTGAAGCAAGAAAGGTCACCTATATTGCTCACGTTCATCTTAAAGCTGCATAACAAGACAACTCTAAAAATGTGTCTCTGAATGCAATAGCAGGGTGTGCAGGAAACTATAAAAATATTGTTTTCCCTTTGAAACATGTCAGCATAAGGATCATTCTGTGCTACATCCTATGTGCTATCAAATTCTCTTTTAAATCAGTATCTTCACTAGCTTCAGTTAAATTAATTAGCTGCAGTGTGTGGTGCAGAAGGCTAACAGAGACAGACTAATTTCTCCTTCCGTTGACTAGTTTGGCTCTGAAAAGAGGTATTTTCTTTCCTTTTCACACTAGCACAGCACACAAAAAAATTGCAAAAACTATACTACAGTATATATAGTCATAAACTATATTCCAAATTCATATTCTTGAAAAACAAGGGAAAGTCATGGTCGGGGTGGATGGAAATGTGCCGATCGAAATGCTAGCTGGAGGATAAGCATTTGAGCCTCCGCTTAACGGGGACAGTGTTCTTTAGACACTATCTGATGCCTCCCAACGACTCACCACCACCCATCTTATTGCACCTCCAGGATAACTATCTGGGTCCCAATGATTCCATCGTAGATGTTTAACATCCATCACCATGGCAACAGAGCTGCACTGCCTCTTTTGTCGGACTCCGCGCCATGGAACAAAGGGACGCCGGAGCCGGAGAGGAAGGCAGACTCAGTGTGACCACCGCTTATGGCTGCTCATCACACCGTACTGGCAGTCTGTACAAGTGTGTGTCGAATCGGATTCCCTGGGGTTGGCAGGCATCCCATCCTGCTCTGCTAGGGCTGGAGAATAATGGAAGAGCCCCCCACCCCTGCCGTCTGGAGCGTCCTTTTGTACCAGGGGAGCTCGCAAAAGCAGCGAGCATCATCAGCCTTCCCAGACCGATTTAGAAACTAGATGGACATTCCCTTCCGAATGGAGACTCCTCCCCCCCCCCCAAGCACACACTCGCCCGCACACACATGCAGAGATGCACACGCACACACGCGCATGCACACACGCGCATGCACACACGCGCATGCACACACGAATGCGCACACCCACACGCATACGCAGACAGTCTCCCCTCCTGCGCCACACCCCCCACGCTCTGCCTGCCCCCGGTCTTTCCCACTCCCCGCTCTGCTGACTTGTTTACCTCTGCGCCCGTCCCCC